TATCTATTCACGTCTGAATTATGTTTTAGACACTATCCATGTGCAGGTTCACTATGTTTGCTGAACTTCAGCCACACACACACACTCCCCACCTTGATTCAGACTAAACGATAAGGTATTCAAGATATCTACCATATTCACTCCTACCCTCTCATTTCAAAATCCTTAATTCGTTTACATGATCATTTCTTAATCTCAATTATTTCTTTTCTTTTCTATTTTTACATTTTTATTTTATTTCTTTTTCTTTTTTAATTTTTTCTTAATTGAAAATTTTTCTTTTCAATTTTATATTCATCAGTCCAAATAACTTTCAATCCATTGGGTCTATTTTCTAGTTTCGTCTCCTCATAGGGTTCTAATTACTTAAATTTACTGATCATAATTTGGATTCTATTTTTCCATCGAAATTGGGCCAATATCCGTTCAAATTTCAAAATTTATAATTTTTATAAAATAAATATACATTTCGAAATTTAACCTGATTAAGATTTAGAAATACTTACTCTCGTACGCATTTTTCTGGATCCGCTTGAATGTGCAAATTTTTCTGTACACACGACATAATTTAATTAAAATACTTCAAAATTCGAATTACGGTTTCAAACAACCACCCAACAGAATACTCGAAGTTATCGGGATCCGTGCTTGTACTCTCGTACGCGTCTTTCCAGATCCGCTTGAATGTGCAAATTTTTCTATACACACCACATAATTTAATTAAAATACTTTAAAATTTGAATTACAGTTTCAAACAACCACCCAACAGAATACCTGAAGTTATCGGGATCCGTACCTGAAAAATCTTCTTACTCTCTGTTTGGCGAATCAAATTCTCATTTTTCGAGAAAGACCTTTTAGCTTTTCAAACGGCAAATCAGATTCTCATTTTTCAAGAAAAATATTTTAGCTTCCCGAACGACGAATCAGAACACCAAAATGGTGGATCAGGTTTCCATGATTGGGGAAGACCCTTCAGCTTCCCGAATGGGTCAACTTTTCTCATTCTCATGGAAACCTCCTCGGTTCCCGCGTGGGTGGGTGGCCAGCTAAGCCCGTGCGGCTAGCCCGACACCAGCTCGTCCCATTGACGCTCAGCCACCCCCAAAACTAGAAAAAAAAATATTTTACCTTTCGGCTTGGCTCCCCGTCGCCTCCTCTCGGTCACCCCGTGGTGCTTTAGCTCCTAAATCTACAACACATACATGAACAATTGTTTGGTCAAAAGCACAAACCGAAAGAAGAAAAGGAACGCACCTAACTCAGGTGCAGTTTCTTCGAAAACCCGAATAACTTTAGTTTTGGATTCTACCGTCATACGGTGCTCATCGGCCACGATTCCCTTTCTTCTTCTTCCTCCTCCTCTATTCTCCCTCTCTCCTTGCCCTTTGTGCGGTCATTCTTGGCTTCCCTTCCTCCTGCTCGGCCAATCCCTTTCGTATTCTGCCATCACACGGTGCTCCTCATCCACAATTCCTTTTCTTCTTCTTCCTCCTCCGCAATTCTCTCTCTCTCATTTCCCCTTATGTGGCCATTCTTGGCTTCCATTCCTCCCGCTCAGCCACTCCCTTTCTCTTCCCTTTTCTCTTCTTTCCTCTTTCTTTTCTCTCTCTCAGCTTCCTAGCGCGACAGTTTCCTTTCTTCCCTCTTCTGCTCGGCCACTTTTTTTTTTCTCCTTCCTTTTCTCCTTCTCCGGTCTCCCTCTTCTTTTCCTCTCCTTTTTTCTTCTCTCTCGAATTCCCGTGCGATTGTCTTCTTCCTCGTCTCCCCGATCGCCTCTCTCTCTCTCTCTTTTTCCCTTCTTCTTTTCGGCTTCTCCTCTCAAAATGAAAAAAAAACCCTAATCTTTTCCCCTTTTACACCTGTTCTCTCAACTGTTGGATCTTCATTACTCGATTTAGACCGTCTGTTTTCTTTTAAATCTCCTCCATCCGATCTGGGCCGTCAATTTTTCCGATTTCCTTTGCCCCCTTCTACTTCTCCTTATTTACGTTTTTGCCCCCTTTTTCTTATCCACTTTCATTTAAGTCTCTAAAATTAATTAAAAATCTCAATTTTTTTTTAAAAAAATTCATTTACATCCAAACTCTAATTTTATTTTATTTTTCTTAGGTGGATATTACATAAAATATCAAAAAATAAATTTATTATGAAAAATAAAAGTTTATTTTTTATAGTTAGTATAAAAAATTAATTTAAAACTATAATTTTTAATTTTTAATTATAAATTTAAAAAATCTAAAAAATTATCTACTGCATAATATTTATTATTTTTATTTTTATGACATAAATAAGGTAAATAAATAAATTAATATATTATTAGAATTGTCTGCTTAATTTATATCTGATTTTTTATTTAACTTTTTTTATAGTAAAAATTTAAAAAGTGAAGGTACAATTTTTTATTTAAATACTTTAAATAGAAGCAGATCGACTGATGATTGATAAACAAATCAAGAAGAAGAGAAACAGATTGATAAACAAATCGAGAAGAAAAGAAAAAAAATAGGTTGGGCTGTTGAATAAAGGTTTTTTTGAGGGTAAAATGATAATTATAAAAATTTAATGAGTGTATAAATAGAACAAAAATGTTAGCCCATCAAAAATCACCAAATCAGTAGTTTTAAAAAATTGTCTAAATTTTT